TGACAATCATAGATATTCAATTTGTTTTATAACTTATGTCTGTCTACCAAATATGAGTAAAAAAACTAAATTATTTGGCTTTTATCTAAATACAAAAACATCTAAATATCAATAATATTATTCTTTTGTCAACAGTATCCCTATTAAATTTATATAATTTTAACAATACTCTTATAAAATTTGTATTTTTGGTCTTCTTTTATTTATTTTTATATATTACATTAAACAATTAGTTATTTATAATTTATATACATTTTTTTTTTTCATAAATTTGATAATTAAAAAAAAAAACATGTAAAATATAAAAGATTTGCTTGCCCAAATGGAAAAGACCAAGGAATAAATCCAAACCAAAGTTTTGCTTTGATACTAGTTAAAGTATCAAGTGTTGTCCAAGCAATTCTTTCATTATTTTCCTTAAGCATTTTTTTATTGTAAAATAGGAAGTCTCTTCAATCTACAAACCATTAGTAAATGATACAAGAATAGTTAAAATAATCTAATTCATTTTAAAATTTTATATTGTTATTTTCAAGGATTAAACTTTTAACAAGATATTCTTGCAGAGAGCATAGTTAATTATATATATCAATAATTAAGTTTTGCTCTTAGGCCTAAGCAGCTTGAATGGTCTGCAGATTGCTGGTGAGCTTTCCCACTTGGTTAATGAAGTCAATTGCCTCAAGATAGTGGAGACAAGCGCTTCAGCCATAGTCAAAGATGGTAATTGAATTAAGATATTGAAATATTTGGTGTGTTTTAAAGTTTAATCTTCCAAAAAAGACCAACGACACTTCCACTAGATGACTCAAATCAACATGTTGGTTTGATGCTAAGTTAATGTACCAAATGTTTCTCCAAGCAAAACCAATTCTCTTATCCTTTTCTTTCTTCCTTTCATGCATGTCAAAGTACTTTAATTTCTACGACACTGCTTTAGTCAATCTTATCCGTTCGTTGTAACCTTTAGATCATATTTGGTATCAGCTAGAAAATCTACTGAATTTTCTTTTTATTATATTAACTCCCCTGTTTCTTCTCTGTTGTCTTTAAGTATGAAATTCACTATATTCTTTTCATGATAAGGACTAGGTGGAATAATAATGAATAAAGGAATTTCTAAAAATTGAGGAGAAAAATCCATGAAAAACCCATTTGTAAGAGCTTCATAGTTAATATCAAAACAATGGAAAGTTTCAACTACAATTGAACTAAAAATTCCAATGAAATTAAATCATTGGTGTCTGTCAATCTTTCTTTGTCCAATGTGTTAATCAACCCAAAAGAAGCAAGATATTTCATTTCAACATCCAGTTCATTGTTGCGTAACTAAAAAGGAACCTGGCTTCCAACAATTCATTTTCTTTCTTGAGTGAATATAATCAAAAGATACAGATATATGCAGAAAATTAAAGATCAATGACACCCAAATTTTTACGTGAAAAACCTCCCCGATGTGAGAAGTAAAAACCACGGGACCGTAGTCCGATTGAAGTCTTTCACTATCACCAAAAATGGGAATACAAAGTCTTCTCTAGTGCAAACTAGAGGCATACAAACATCATAAACTTCACAAACAACACCAACAATCTCACCAAAAACAGGAACAAAATATCACAATTTATGGAGAGAATAATCCCAAAAGACACAAAAACTGCAGTTTCAAGTTTACCCACAATTAACTGCATTACAGTGCTTGGATTTCGATCTCCACCGTTCAGAATGTAGAGTTATTTCTCATGAACAACATATCCAAAAATCAGAACAATCGAATGGCAAACTAATTCTACCAAGCTTGTGTTGTACACTATTGCTTGACATTGATTCTTGAAGAAAATCATTATATGTTGAACTTGCTTTACTGCATCAAGTGTGAGATATCAAAAAAGTTTCAATGATAGGAAAAAAGCCTTCCAATAACTTAATAACCAAAAGATATCTGGAACAAACCATTATCAACATAAAAGAATTCTGCTTACTGGGAAAGAAGGAGCTATGGCTATCATGTCAACAATAAGTTGAAGTCTAATTATAAAATGTTTATCATCTCAAACTTGTTCTATGGATATGCTCTGTTCTAACTGATTTTCAAAAAAAAAAATTTAATTCTCTACTATAAGTTGGTCCATTATTTCGATTTAGGAGTTGTTTATGACTAAATTTAATAATTCATGAAACTAACGAGTTTGTGTTGTAAAACATGCTGATCAAGTAAATTAATTGAAGACGAGCAGCTAAAGATCTTACTCTTACCTTTAAAAAGTAACACCATCCAATCACTTGTTCTATTTTGTCTTTCAGGTCACAAATAGCTCTCAATCATTCAACAAATCAAGTAACTACTCCTGTAACATTTAATTGTGATACGTAGGAAGAATAATCAAAATGTACAAAAATTTAAATGCCAGTTATAAAAAATACCATTAACCCAATTACTTACACATCACGCTTAAGAAAACCATGCATAGAGATTTAATGGAGCTTTGTCACACCTGCTTGCATGAGATCCAAAAACAGAACATAGCATGAGATAATTTCCAAAGGATAAAAATCAAAGGAATGATGACACCACGACAAAAGAAACATAATATGCTGTTAATGGAACTCAGCTTTAACAGCATATTACGTTTCTTTAATGAAAGAAGAATGCTACTTGGAATTAAATTTCAATCTAGTGCTAATAGTTCGTAGCATGTTTTTAAGTTATTCCAAACCTCTAACAGCAATTTCTGAACTCATGTATAGTTTTGTGCATGTTAATTGCTTGGAGAAAAGCTATTTTTGGTTGAATCATGAATGGCACCATTCCTGCTGTAGCTTAGGTTCCGGCATCAAAAACCATGAGCTGACATCCGTAATCAAGCTAAAAAAGCCCATTTAATGATGCTAGTTAGAATATTATAAAAATGCTTATAATAAAATGCAAAAACTGATGAGTTTGCATTCCACAACAAGAAGCTGAAGAGAAAATTGTTGCCCTGACATATGAAAAGAAACTAGGATGTGCTATGGAGAAATGGTTTGGTTTTCTGGTAGAAAGTGATGCTAATATAGACAAAAAAGAGATGATAAAATGGTCCAGATTCAAGTATAAGAATTCCTATGGCCATATTACCTAGTCCAGTTCAGATCCAACAACAAAACATAACATTTGCTTAAAACTGCAATTATGCCTGAAATTCAGCACTTCTTTCACAAGATGTCTCCAGTGCAAGATTTCTTGGTTGCTGCAGCTTGAAAAAAAGAATAAAAACTTTAGCATGATATCACTTTAAAAGAACAACACAAAGTCACATTAATGAAATGAAGTGAGAGCAATAATGTGGTTTGATAATAATCAACAAATGGATGAGCATAATGGACCGTCCACTTCAGAAAAATTGAAGCTAAGATCTTCGAGAGATGTTGGTCAAAATTGGAGGTTTTACCTGTAAGGAGAGAAATTACTTGTGGATTGATCATGATTGTAGCATTTTGAGAATTCAAAGATGTCCCTTTGCAGAATCAAAGTTGAAGTTAAGACTTGAGAGATGTTGGTCAAAACTGGAGGAGATGATGATGAGCTATCAGTTCACTCAACTTCCTTCGGGAACATAACCACTAATTTACGATTCAAAACACATAATTAAAAGGAAAAAGAGAGGAGATTACCTGCGTTTTGAATAACAATCAAATGGTATTATTTTCATGATATCCAAAATTATACAATGCCAAAATTACAAGGGCATCCAATGCCCTAAAACTAAACATGCATGAAGTTCGAGTGAACAGCACTTAAAATCCCAGCTTCTCTTCCATCTCTGCTGCACAATACCACCACAAATTCTCAGAAAAATTTCATGCATGACTTAACTATGGCATGTTATGTTGCCTATCTATTCATTTTGTCATGATCATGCAAATCCTCTCGACTTTTGCATATTCGAGTGAGACACCACAAACAGCATGACTCAGCAATTAACTTGCTACTTGTTCCTCTAAAATCGGCTGTGTAGAAGAACCAGTTGAGAATCCCAGTTTTCCCATGACTTCTTCCAAGCGATTTGCATTTGTCAGGTACAGATAACCAACCTGTGTACAAGAACCAGTTAAGGCAAACAATTAACAGGAACCCAGAGCGAAAACTAATGCATTCTTAAATGTAACAAATACTATGCAAGAAAAAAACAAGGTACAAGGGTACTAACTAGTGTTTCTAGCGAAGATGCTCTATTGTAAACTACTGTACCAGCTCTTTTTTTGTTGGTGCTTTAGCAGAGATGATATTCTTTCCCCAGTGAAGAACATCCCTGCGGTAAAGAATATCAACTACCATGAGTCAAATGCCAACTCTGAACAAATGAATATCAGTGTAATTTCAGCAGCACTTTAATCAGAGTTCTGACAGATAATTTTCTCACATTAAAAGAGATGCAATAGCAGCAGAAAGTAAGGATACATTTAGGGTAAAAAAAAGTGTACTCAAATTGAGAGTTTTAGCAGATTTCTCTCATTTGACAAAGTTGACACGAATGATAAGATCCTCTTTTTCCTGAATGTCACTCTGCTTTTTATGCTGAAACGGACTGGTAATTCTATCATTAAAATGAAATATGTGTCACTAACGACCATAACCAAAAAGAGTAACTTATCATTAAAGTCATTTCAAGCACTCAGAATAGAAGGATTAAAAGTGGAATGTTAACTATTGGCATCATCAAGAGCAAAAAGCTTCTGGATCACAAGAAATAAAACGTGCACAGAAATTTTTCTTCAAGATGGTCCTGCGTGATGAATAAATGTTGAAGATCATCTCCATGTTTGCTCTTAAAAATCTAGATTCGGAACATCATATTGTATATGAAAAATCTATGTAAGTGATTTTTATAACCTCCAGATTGAGGAGGAAGGCATCAAAGATTGTCAATTTGTACATATCTTACTTCTCAAAAGGATGAAAGTCCAACTATACAAAATTAGTAGAAAAAAAGCCAATGAAGAGCATCAAATCTACCGACTACTTTTCTTCCGCTGATAAGTACTTATCATCAAGAAGTTTCTGGAGCAAAGGATCCTGAATGTGCAAATACAAATGTTACAATTTTCACCAAACACAAGTAACAAATTTTCTTTAGTCATGTTTTATTTTCACGATTTTGTGTAATCCAGACAAGAAATAACAGCGCAGAAACTATTATACGAATTGCTATGAAGCTACAAACTAACTCAATTTGATAATAAACATTGCAACTCTTGGGACGGAAAGATCGGTACAGAAGAATATTCAACTAGACCAATGGAAAGCATAATCACAAAATTATAACTATAATAAGCATAACTTATAAAGCCACAATATCATTCATGCAACTCAAAAATAAACATAAAATTGAAATCATACTTGTGCTTCACAGCATACTACTGCCATTATGTGATCATTATATCCTTCAATACTCGGGAGGAAACAAAAAGCGCCTGCAAGCATATATCTCCACAGTTTGAGAAACACTTGAAGTAAGTTATGATCAAAGGTCCAAATTTACCCAAAAAAAGGGACCTATGTTAGTAGCAAGTAACATAAAACATGCTATCTACCTCGTAGGTTTCAGTTCAAATACAAATGCTCTCCCAAACAGTGAAAAAACAGCCTTGCTTTTGAAAGAAGGCATCAACCCATGCATCTATAAGACCAACATTGATGGATTCAATATAGGTTCCTAACAGCCTTAAATTTTAGCCATAATTATGCATTATTGTTAAATTTACCAAACGACAAACCATTAGAATGCAACCCTTTTGAAGGGGCACAGATGAGATCTCTTGATCCCTAACGACACTCATTTTGAAAGAGAATGAGCCATTCCTTCAAAATTTCTATATTATTCAACATGCGATGTTCATTCAAAGAAAAAGAACCAAAATAACACACCTTGTAAATACAATCAGCAATATATGCTAGTGAAGCTGCATTGTATACCGAACAAGGTTTGGTGGCTTTGGCAGCCACACCACATATCCCAAATAAGATTCATCCAAGTTTATCTCCACACCTACACAAAACCCAAATCAATTTTGAATCTTTATCTTTTACATAACCCCGAAATTTCATCCAACTACTAAGCTAGTAAATAATTAAAGTAAACAAACAAATCTTTTCCCAATCTTTTTAATGTTCTTTTAACGCATAAACCCAATTGTGTCAAACTTATCTTCTTTCACCCATTTGGGCAACATCCACGATAATACTATGACAAAGATTTTTCACTTTAAATCAAAATTGTAGAATGATACAATCTCTCTAACAAAATTATAAGAAAATCAGTCACTAACAAAGTTAAGCATATAATAATGTGAAAAAACTGTTGACTGAGCTAAGTAGCAGAAGTTGGAAAGATTATTACTTCAACTGAGAGATGAAATGAAACAAAGAAAGTGATGGTAACATATACCTCATTCCATTTTCGGCATTGTCCACAAGGGATGATTAATTTGCTTAAGTGACAATAGATTCCTGGAATGTCTTCCATAAGCAGCCAGTTTTTTGAAGAAACAGAGTTGGATGAACTTTGAAAATGAACGACACACTTCATACCTCAACTCACCTGAGCGGGAACCGTTAGTAGATGAAACTGTGGTTTTTTATTTTGACCAAAATGTAGAGTTAAATGTTGAAGCACACGACTATTGAAAAACAAAACTGAGGTTTTAAACTGCAAAATACATTATTATTTCAGTGAAAAAGCATTTGCATTTGCTGATTGAGAATACTTTAAACTTGAGAATGAAGTGAAAATAGCATCAACAGATGAAGATGCTGATTGAGACTGAGTTGCATTTGCATAATCTGGAAAGTAATTAATAAATTGTGCTGAAAACATTACAATATTTCAGAACCATAAATAGAATAATTTACAAGTACCATAATCATGATGTAGCTGCATAATCCATTTACTACAAAAATTGACTTCATCAATTGAAAAGTAAATACAATAGTAAGCGAGATCCATAATTATATATTTCAAATCAAGTACTGGAATTATTTCTAGGATTTGGAGAAATGTAAACATACACCGATATACGATTTATTAAAAAATAATAATAATAATAATAAAGCTGAAGCGAAGCAAGAATAGAGAAACAGACCAGAGAGTCTTGGGTGTCGTTGAGGGAACTTGATGTGCGGGATTCTCTTCAACGCCTGAGCTCCACCCATCACTCTCTGTGTCACCGCCACACTACAAGAGGTTTCTTTTGAGGTTGACGACGACTAACAATTACTCCTTGTCAGCTGTCAGTGGAAGAGACGACGCCGTTTGAATGAATAGGATAAATTCCATTGCATCCTAACATCATGTACGTGGTCCATATCCAGTTGTTAGAAATAGAGTTGGGAGAGTCTGACACGTAATCAACAAGTTAATTAACAAAATTAACTGTGTTACATATATATTCGCTAGATTATCGAGTCTGAAAATGAATTTAAGATCTAAATATGAGAAAACCTTGTAATGTTATGTATGTTATTTTGTGAAAACAAATAAGCTGGCGGTTAGGAATCTTTACCATGAAAAAATTTCTGATTTTAGAAGGGATGAGTGACCATGTTTTGTTTATCACTTTAATTGAGGAGACTCTCTTTAAGATTGTATATTTTGAAAGTGAATATAACCATATCACCTTCATGAAAATTTAAGTTGATAATTTTTCTAAAAGCATGATACCTGCAGTCCATTTCCACGGCAAGCTATACAGTCAGCCAAGCCCTCAAGGATCAGTCTGAAGTCTTTGGCCGCTGAAGAATTGTCCTGATTAACATCCGCAGCACCAGCATTCCCCACTTCTTTACAACTACAGCAGAATGCGACAAATACTTTGGGACCTAATATTCAAAATGAACCATAAGCTGTCAAGACCTTTCTGTGACTCTGAAAGCAGGGGTGAGAAAAATTTTCGGGAGGACCTGGAGCCGCCAGGTACCCTGTGTTCCGGTTCTGGTTCCTACCCGGAATCAAAACCGAGAACTGAATACCCGGTTTGGAACCGGTTTTAAAATCGAGACTTAAATGATATTAATATTGTACATGATGGGTTTAATTGACATTTATCATAAGAATATGATGAAACAACAACGTTTGAGGTTTGAGTTTAGGGTTTTCATTCGAATGCCATGAGGAGTGAGACTGAATTTTGAAGAGAGACTTCAGGAGTGAAATAATTTCATAATTATCTTCAATTAAAATTGATTATTGAGTAACATTTTGACTTTATTTTGCTTTTACTATTTATTCAAAAAGTCATAAAAATATTAACACTAAAGAATCTCTTCCAAAATTTATTCGTCATAAAATGAAGCTAATTGGTTTAAGGAGAGAAAAAATTACCTGTGATTGATCAGGATTGTAGCATTCTGATAAATTGCATTGCATTCTTATTCTAGCATCATGTACGTGGCCCAGAAATAGAGTTGGGAGAGTCTAATAACGGGCCCAACCAATTCTTTACAGGGGCCCAGTAATAATTTATCCTCTGTTTATGGGATCAAAACATAATACCATTCCTGGTTGAAAAGAAAAGAAAACAAAACTTTAGTATGAGGTAACTTTAAATTAAAAAAAAAAATGGAGTAAAAATTATCAAAATTCTCTTAAAAACAGGATGTAAGACCAGATTATGAAGTTATAAAATATTGCCACTTCACAAGCATTAACACTAAAGAATCTCATCCAAAATTTATTCATCCTAAAAATGAAGCTAACCGGTAAGGAGAGAAGAAATTACCTGTGGATTGATCACGATTGTCCCTCTACAGAATCAAAGTTAAAGTTAAGACTTGAGAGATGTTGGCCAAAATTGGAGGAGATGATGATGAGCTATCAATTCACTCAAGTTGTTCACTCTAAGAGAAGCCATGCATTGGTTCAAATCCTATTATTTTGAATAGAAAAAATGAAAAACATAAAATATCAATGCGAACCCATCCTTAAATTACAAGCTTTATATTAAGAGTATAATTAGATTCTTTAAGACGATTAAAGATTACAAAATGGGGATTGATAATTACGGTATTAAATATTAAAAGATGTCAATTATTCCCAAAATAAAAAGTTTAAAAAATAATGATGAAGAGAGGAAATTACCTGTTGTTTGAAGGAAAATTATGTTGAAGTTGATAATTTGAGAAAACTTAATCAGTATCAGACGAGGATGACAATCAGCTATTGGTCTCTGTTCTTAAGAGAAGAGGACAATATCTAATTTCCTTCTTCAACCTTGTCATTTGATAAAGGTGGTTTGGTAGAGACTTCAATTTAAGGCAGGAATGAACTACCAAGGTCTGAAGAGATGGCATGACTGTAATATCTTCATCTCCTGTCTTTGTAATCTCGTAATTCCACTCTTCCCATTCTTGCATCTCCGATAAGCGTAAATATTTCAGTTTGGGAAACACAATAATTGATGAAGATGATGAGGTGGCATCACTCCCTATTCCCAAAAACTCATTATCAACTCTTTTCACACTCTTCATTCTATCTATCCCAAGAATTTCAAGAGACGACAATTTACCCAAAGGAGGCAGATGTTCACAGTTTATACAATCATAAAGATTTAACTTTCTCAAATTGGTCAATGACATCATCCAGTTAGGGAAAACAGTGTTGCCTCCATAATTTCGTAGCCTTAATATCTCTAAATTTGGATGTGGTTGCAACTCCTCAAGAAGTTGTTGATTTTGCTCCTCATTCATCCTCCCCTTAAAGTCTACATCCAAATCACGCAAGTTTTTCTTATTGTTTAATTCTATTCCCTTAACCTCATCCACATCTCTCAAATTTCCCAACCCTTTTATATCAATTTCTTGAAGGTGATTGAAGGATTTTAGACATTCAACAGAACATGCTTCGCTACCATAACTGTCCTCACTTATAACAAATCTTTGTAATGTTCGTAGACCAGTTAATCTCTCTAAACTTTTTGGCATGTAACTTATACTATCAGTCCACCAATTTAACAAATGCCTCAAGTTGATTAAGTTTCCCATCCCTTGAGGTAGTTTTTCGATATTATAACAAATCTGGATGTCTAAAGTTTGCAGATTATATAACCCGCACAATGTCTCAGGCAATTCTTTTATGTCTTCATTCGTGGACAAATCAAGATACCTCAAGTGTATTAATTTTTTTATTTCTACGGGAATTTCTTTAATTGAGCAACGATTCAAAGATAGTGACCTTAAACATGTAAATTGATCAACTAATTTGGATAAAACTATCTTAGGGTCAGAACCGTAATTATAATCAACCACAAGGCTACGTAGAAAAGTATTTCTAGCATAAATAGAGCTAGGAAATGAGGCCTCTCCTTTAATTGTTATCATGGAATGTCTAACTTTATCATAAGAAGGTTCTAATTCAATTTCTCCAATACCATCAACCTCTATTGTACAACATTCATTTTGAGTAAGAAACTGCGCAAAATCATGCACTATATCATGCATCTTGCAAGAATATACACTAATATCATTTTCAAATTGTTTAAAATCTTGAAAGAAAGAACGCATTGCTAAGGTTTCAAAATACTCTTCACCAACTAACTCCATATCCTTATTTGGTTTTGAGACTTTTGACTTTAAATAACCTTGTGCCATCCACAACTTAATCAAGTGTTCTCTCTTTATCTCATAGTCCTTTGGAAAAATAGCACAATATGAGAAACATTTTTTCAAAGTAGGGGGTAAATCATAATAACTTAATAGTAGAGGTCGAAAAACTTCTTGTTCTACCTCTTCTAATTCCCAAATTTCACTCTCTAAGATATTTTGCCACTGGACATATTTTCTTTTAAAACACAAAAGACTCGCTAAAGTCTTTATTGCAAGTGGTAAACCCTTACACTTTTCAACAATTCTCCTACCAATTTCTACCAATTCTATAGATTCTTCGTTGCTTTTTCCTGAAAATGCAATTTTACTAAACAATGACCAACATTTTTCCTCAGGTAATGTCCCCAATGGGATTATTTTGGTGGTTCCTATGACATTTGCAACGTTCTCTTTACGTGTGGTTACCAAAATTCTACTTTCTGGAGAACCACACTTAAAAGAGCGCTTCAATTGATCCCAATTTTTTGGATTTTCAGTCCATATGTCATCTAGAACAAGAAGAAACTTCCTTCCATCAATATGTTGGCGTATGTTTTGCACCACAGTTTCTAACTCGTTCAAGTTTGGAGCACTATTTGTAAGAGATTCAAGGATTGCTTTGGCAATCCTAAGCTCATCAAAAGGCTCGGAAACACACACCCATATTTTTTTTTCAAAATGGGTGTTCACTTGATCATCGTTAAAAACTAATTGAGCAAGAGTAGTCTTACCAATTCCTCCCATCCCTACTATGGAGATAATGCGGAGGTCTTGTGCATGACTACTCTGAGTAAGCAAAAAATCGATTATTGTATTCTTATCATCACTTCCATAAATCTCTGTTAAATCAATAGCAGAGGTTGTCATTAGTCGTTCTATTTCTTTGCTACTCTCAGTGATTGATCTAAAGTTGAACCTCTCTTTCTTAGCAGCAATATTATCTAGATTTCTATCAAGATCTTTAATCTTGGCACCAATGTCATAACGTATGACCAACGGCTTACAACTGAGGTAGTGAAGAATGGGGGAACATACCTTTTTCAGAGGATTAGAAGCATCTTCAACTTTCTTAATCTTCAATCTCTGAAGCTTGGTGTTCCACTCATCCAACACATCGTCTATGTCATAGGACACGTTTTTCAGCTCAGCTAACCATACTCTCACGGCATTCTCCTTCACCTGTCGGTTCTCAGCATCAGCAAGCAGAGCTTGAATAGACAGGAAGTTGCTTTGAAGCTTTTGAACTTCTTGCTCAGCACCTGCAATCAGAGTTATCCCTGCTTCCGCCTGTTGACGAATGATTGAAACAAATTGTTCCAACACTATCTCCACAAGAGCTTCAGCCATATTGAAAGATGTTTTACGTAGTTGATCAGAACAGGGATTTAGAAATTGAAATGGTTGGTGTGTTTATTTTCTGGCAATTGATCAATTTTTATAGTCAGAGAAAGACAAAAGGAATGTCTTTGACTGGAACAAATAATTTGGTGAGAGCAAAGTTCGGATCAGAACGATACAAACATAATCACTGATTTGATTACGCGTATTAGGTGAAACATTAATCTAAAAATTGAGATCACAAGATGAGAATGGGGACGCGTATGTGGAAACATTACACCCAATCAAAAACTAGTAAATGAGGAGTAGGAACTGACTAAGCTTTACGTGGATATCACATCATACCTTATTATAAACCAACCAACCTTTGACTTTCTTGGTGGCGGAGGGCTTAGAGAAATTGCAAGTTGCTGGAGCCAGCGGAGATTGAAGTTGCTGGATTCACTGACTTAAAGTATTTCCTTCTAACTTTAAACCAATTAAGTAAAAAAGTATAATTCTTCTTCGAACAGGTCTCGATATTGCTGAATGTTTGGGCTTTTCAATTGGCTTGGGCCAAATACACATGGCCGTTTATCAAAGAGGACTTTTCTCCTGTATTTTCACTTGTACATATTAAAATCCATAAGCTGCAGATATATTTCAACGGACGGTTATAATAAATTAAAGTTTCTACAGAAAAAACAAAACTTTAGCATGAAATAACTTTAAAAGAACAACACAAAGTCACATTAACGAAAATGAAGTTACAAAGATCAAAAGTCTTTTAAAAACAGGATGTAAGACCAGATTAATAAGATTATATAAGATTCCCTCTGGCCACTTTACCTAGTCCATTTCTCATTCAACAGCATTAGAACCCAATTGCAATAAGACCAAGGAATCTTATACAAGTTTTGCTTTAGTACTAATCGACAAATGACGCGCATCTATTCATGTCCACCAACCACCTTGACTTCTTGGTTAGAGAAATTGCAAGTTGCTGGTGTGGAGGGAGATTTTTGTTAGTTTATTGCATGCCGGCAGCCGCTATTGTATATTATACCGACACATCGGTCGCTTAAGTGACGATAATACTAGTGGTGCGCTTTTAAATATTTGTCGTTTGTTACCTCAGGCTCAGGCCTAATGAAACTGAAATATGCTGATCGAAGTCAAAGGCCCCTTACGTTTATATACCAATACTTCAGAGTGGCAGAGCTCAAGTGAACCAAAGGAATTTTTATAGTAACAAAGGACCAAAACTTTTTCTAGTATCAAAGTAAACTAGTCCACAAAGGCAGGCTTAAAGGTTTCCTGGCCTTGTCTTCCAAAAATTCGCTACACTTTGAGAGTACCTATGGCCAGGTTACATAACATGGCAAGCTGATGGAACCTAAATGTAAGTAAAAATTCATTGTTAGTGATTATGATCATTAACCTGCTCTTAAACAGGTCTGGATATTGCTGACTGTTTGGCCTTCAGTAGTCTTGGGACAACCCATTGCCGTTTTCAAAGCGTTATTTTAAAGTTTCCAATTCATTTCCGGGACTTTTCTCCTTGTTTTTCACTTGTACATAGTACATAGCTAAGCCGCAGATATATATATCAACGGACGGTTATAATAAATTATAGTTTCTACGGAGACATTGTAGATGATTTTTGCTATTCTCAAAATCGAATTTGGCACATTCTAACGTGACATAATGAAACCTTACGTAATGTAACGTTAATCCAGTTTCACCATTAAATAACTTCGCTCATCGTTGCCGCGAAATAAGCTGATGGAACCTTATCAGTTTGGTCATGACTCATCCAATTAGGAGAAATATTGTTGCCACTGTAATTTTGTAATATTAATATCTCTAAATTTGGATGTGGTTGCAACTCCTCAAGAAGTTGTTGATTTTGCCCTCATTCATCCTCCCCTCAAAGTTTACATACAAATCATGCAATTTCTTCTTATTGTTTAATTCTATTCCCTTGACCTCATACACATCTCTCAAATTTCCCAACCCTTTTTTCCAAATTCTCGAAGGTGTTTGAAGTTTTCTAGACATTTAACACAACATTCTTACTACCATACTGCTCTCACTTATAACAAATCTTTCTAATGTTCGCAGACCGTTAATTTCTCCAAACTTTTTGGCTGACTAATACCATCAGTCTCCCGATTTAACAAATGTCTCAAGTTGATTAAGTTTCCAACACGGAGGTAGTTTTTTGATATTTCTACACCACCTGATGTCTAAGGTTTGTAGATTATATAACCCACACAATGTCCAGGCAATTCTTTTATGCTTTCATTCCAAGACAAATTAAGGTACCTCAAGTGTATTAATTTTTATTTTACTAGGAGATTTCTGTAATTGAGCACTCATTCAAAGATAATACCTTAGACATGTAAATTGATCAACAATTTGGACAAAACTATCTTAGGGTCAGTACCGTAATTACATCAACCACAAGGCTACGTAGAAAGTATTTCTATTATAATAGAGCTAGGAATGATGGCCCCTCCTTGAATCTTTTCATTGATGTCTAACTTTATCTATAGAAGATTCTAATTCAGTTTCTCCTCTATCATCAACCTCTATTGTATACATTCATTTTGGGTTAGAAATTGAGCAAAATCATGTACTATATCATGCTTTTACAGGAATATATATCATCGTATTCCTCTTTTTCAAAATCTTGAAAGAAAGAACGCATTGCAAAGATTTGAATACTCTTCACCAACTAACTCCATATCCTTTTTTGAGTCTTTTGACTTTAATAACCTTGTGCCATCCATAACTTAATCAGTTTGTTCTCTCTCTATCTTATAATCCTTTGAAACATCACAATATGAAACATTTTTTCAAAGTAGGGGCTAAGTCATAATAACTTAATAGTAGAGTCGAAAAACCTCTTGTCTACCTCTTCTAATTCCCAAATTTCACTTCTAAGACATTTTCCCATTCTTCAAATTCTCTTTTAAAGCGCAAAAGACTACCTAAGTCTTTATAGCAAGAGGCAAACTTTACACCTTTTAACAATTTTTCTACCAATTTCTTCAAACTCTTTATTGGTTGTTTCAAAAATTGCAAGTTGACTAACAAAGACCAACATTCATCCTCTGGTAGTATTCCTAGTAAGATTTTGTTGTGGTTCCAATGAATTTGCAACATTTTCCTTCCGTGTGGTCACTAAAACCTACTTTCTAGAGATCCATACATGAGAGTATGTTAATTTTCCCAATTTCTACGATTTTCAGTCCATACATCATCTAAGACAAGAAGAAACTTCTTTCCTCTAATTTGTCTACCTATGTTTTGCATTACAGTTTCTAATTCAACTAATTGTGATGACTACTTGTGAGAGATTCAAGGATTGCTTTTGCAATATTAAGCTCATCGAAAGGCTCAGAAACACACCCCATATTTTTTTATCAAAATGGGTGTTCACCTTATAATCATTAAAAGCTAATCTAGCAAGAGTTGTCTTGCCAATTCCTCCCATCCTACTATCAGATTATAGGGAGGACTTGTTTTGACTACTTTGACTCAAGAGCAAATCGACTAGTGAATTCTTCTCTTTCTTTCTTCCTCGAACCTCTGTTAAATCAATAGAGCGAGGTGGCGATTTGCCGTTCTACTCTTTTTGCTACTCTCGATGATTGGTCTAAAGTGGAATCTCTCTCTCTCCACAGCAATAATATCAAGTTTTCTGTCAAGATTTTTTATCTTGACCCAATGTCATAACGCATAACCAATGGCCTACAACCGAGATAGTGAGAATGAAGGAACTACCTTTTTCAGAGAATTAGAAGCCTTCAGCTTTCTTAATCTTCAATTTCTGAACTCGGTGTTCCACTCATCCAATACATCGTCAATGTCATAAACGTCTTTCAGCTTGGCTAACCAACTCTCACACATTCTCCTCACCTGTCGGTTCTCAGCATCGCAAGTAGAGCTTGAATGACAAGAAGTTGCTTTGAAGCTTCTCAACTTCTCGCTCAGCACCGGCAATAACACTTATCCCTTCTTCCGCCTGTTGACGAAGATTGAAACAAATTGTTCCAACACAATCTCCACAAGCGCTTCAGCCATATTGAAAGATGTAACGTAATTGATGAAAGCAAGATTGAGATTGAAATGTTGTGTGTTTATTTTTGTGGTAATTGCAGTGTTTATAGTCAGATAAAGACCAAATGAATCTTATACAAGTTTATGCTTTAGTACTAATCGACAAATGACGCAGCATCTCTCATGTCCAACCAACCAACCTTTGACTTTCTTGGTTCGAGACATTGCAGTTGCTGGTGTGAGAGGGAGATTTTTGTTAGTTTTTGCATGCCGGCAGCCGCTATTGTATATTATAACCGATGAGTAGGAACTGACTCAGCTTTACCTGGATATCACATCTTATTATAAACCATATTTGGACCACTGACGCAGCATCTCTCATCTCCAACCAGCCAACCTTTGACTTTCTTGGTTAGAGAAATTGCAGTTGCTGGTGTGAGAGGGAGATTTTTGTTAGTTTATTGCATGCCGGCAGCCGCTATTGTATATTAAACCGACACATCGGTCGCTTAAGGACAGATAATACTAGTGGTGCGCTTTTAAATATTGTCGTTTGGTACCTCAGGCTCAGGCCTATGAAACTGAAATATGCTGATCGAAGTCAAAGGCCCCTTACGTTTATATACAAATACTTCAAGTGGCAGAGCTCAAGTGAACCAAAAGGAATTTTTATAGTAACAAGGACCAACTTTTTCTAGTATCAAAGTACCTAGTCAACAAAGGCAGGCTTAAGTTTCCTGGCCTTGTCTTCCAAAAATTCGCTACAACTTTTGAGAGTACCTATGGCCAGTTACATAACATGGCAAGCTGATGGAACCTAAATGTAAGTAAAAATTCTTGTTAGTGATTATGATCATTAACCGCTCTTAAACAGGTCTGGATATTGCTGACTGTTTGGCCTTTTCAGTAGTCTTGGGACAACCCATTGCCGTTTATCAAAGCGTTATTTTAAAGTTTCCAAA